GAGGTGTCAGAGCGAGAGCGAGTGTTGTTCCAGTTTAGCTGGTTCTAGCACACGTTGGTCAAGAGGCTGATCCACACACTGAGTGGAGGTAATTATTTACAGTTCTGTGCAGAAATGGGGGGCTCAGGGACAAATTCACAAAGCCAGCACCCCAAGAAGTAGAGTGTCTTAGTATTTCTACATTTTAGCAAAGAAAGGAATTAGTGTTCATTGACTGCAAGTTCCCTAGTTCTCTTCATAATTAGTATTCTGTCTGCTGTTGGGTAATGATCCTCTCACTTCTCATGTTCATTAGTCTGCATGCTCAGTCTCTCCCTTCTTTTATGTCAATGGCTTCTGGAGCGCATGGCCATGGTCTGCCCCTGCTGGAATGACCTTTTACCTCACAGGAGGTGATTCAGTGCAGTTTCTGCATTGGCTTTATCAGTTTGTACCCTCCCTTGGGGGTTCTGCCAAATGTCCTTGCGCCCCTAAATTCTGCATTCTTTGTGCCCACCATCAGTGGTACATCCTTCTTCCCAAGCCTTGCTAACCTCCCCGGTGTCTGAGGTAGCTGAAGCCTGTCAAGCCCTGCACCCCAACAAGGCAATCCAGCCAAGAAGTAACCTGCCTTTCAAAGGCCTGGCCATCACTCCTTGGCTACTTCTTGTTTCATGGGAATAATCTCCCTTCTTGTTGATGGGCCTTGAAAGCCACAAAGGACAAACATCAAAGAACACATTTTCCTGACAAATATTTTGCATTTTGCAGACTCTTCAGCAGGACCAGTGGCTGTGTGGGAGCCGGAGCACCCGAGGCAGAGCAGGATGGCGGAGCTGTGGGCCTGGGCACGATCCAGAGCGTTCCACAGGGCCCCAGTCTGCACTGCGTCCCGCAGGGCCCCCAAGAGCCCTGCCGTGCCCGTCAGGGTGACCCAGAGGTCCCAGGACCAAGAGGTGAGGGGCAGGTGTCGGGCTCTGCGGGCTGCCAGCGGGTGGGGGCTTGGCCATGGTGTTGGTGTCAGGTGCTGCTGACCCCACGGGACCTGTTGGGCAGGGCTGGGGCCCCACTGGTGCTCCAAGGGCCCCTTTGGGGCAGCTGCCCGGGGGGAAGCCACTCACAGGGATGACACGGAAGAGGTGCCAGTGGAAGTGGGAAGTTCTCTGATGGATGTGTTTCTCAGGGATTGCACTGAGGAGGTTCCAGTGAAAGTCAGATGTTCTCAGTGCTGGGACACTCAGGAAATTCATGCTCTGGGCATGGCTCTTGGTCAAAATGCATGGATTTCTCATTGTTCCATGTTTGCACTGCACTCACCGAACATGTCAGGATAAAGGAAACTCTCTAACAGTATTTTTTAGTATTAGTATTTAGTATTTATGCTCAGCTGTGATGCATAGTGGAGAACTCCAGCCACATGCACACCATTTTCAAAGCTTTTCCAAACAAAGAAATTTCAGCATTTTTAGCAAAAAAAAGAACCAAATCATCTTCATGGGTTCTAAATTACATAATTTCTTCAATTAAGTATTATTCTATCTTCTCTTTGGCATTGATGTCTCCCTTCTCATGGTAATTAATTCACATCTTTCAGTCCATTTATCATAGCTTTTTAGATTTTATCTCAGACAATTTTGCCTACAGAATGAAGCAGGTGGATGGCAGTAGTTGTTTTAGTTCAAAAATGTACTTAGGCTGATGAACATTTCAGTGATTTTTTAACCTCCTGCAGAATGTGATACATTCTGTATTAAATTATGAGATCAGACAAGCAATCCGAATTTTGTTATATCTGATTAACCTAGGATAAACTGCTTCCATTTCACAGCTGCAAAGAATTGCATCTAGAGCTGAGGACAAGAGAAAGGGCTTTCATGCCTGTTGAGAGTCAAAATTCACCTTATGCAGATGAAATTCTTCTTGGAGCTGACTCCAAGATGTGCTTCCTTAGTACCAAATAAATCCCAGCATCAGGTCGTGTCCAAAATTCTTATATTTTTGTGAACCACTCTCACCTGGATTGTTAGCTGGACACTGGCCAGTTCAGTTGTACTCAGGCACTTGATTTCAAGGGCAGCCTGTGCCTATAAATTCTGGCAACTGGGAAAGGATGACTTGCTACTTGAACACTTGGCTGCGTTAGAGGCCAAGTGAGGGTTGCTCTCTCAGGGCAGTTTTGTAGCCGGCTGCTTGCAGAGGGAGAACTGTGTCAAAGCAGCCCTTTCTAGTGATGTGACAGCAAACCTTTGCAAATACAGCTCTTGTTTAAAACAAAGGGCCTAGTTAATCAGCAGTGATGGAGAGCAGGCTGAAGTTTTTACAGAAAATATCTTTTTCCTTGTAGCCAAATGCCAGCGAGGCATCGCACAATGGAAGTGCGCAGAATGTCAACTTGTATAACCCAGCTGGAGGTATGATTGCCTTTCACATTTTGCTCAGTGTCAGTAAGATTTTCAACTTGGTAATTCATTTTTGCAGCATATTCTTGGGACAGGGGATCTCTTGTGTTCAGAGATCTCGACTGGAGGTGGTATGCCCTCAGGTCAACCTTGCAGTCTCTTGTCACTGCATTTAGCCACTGGCTTGTTTTCCCCTGAGAAAACCTGCTAGTCCTTCCTTGTTTGCATACTGGTTGATGGGATGCAATGTGGAGCATTGAGGTCAAGGCTTGGACTACTCCATGCACCTAAATTCACTGCCTTGGTAGCTAAGGTTTTGCTTTTGGAGTATCTAGGCCCTGTCATTATCCTCTAAATTTAATTGGGAAAACCTATGCAACCTTGAAAAGTTGCATAGAGAATTTCATAAGGTCAGCTTGGGAAACTTTGCTTGATTTAATTTTTTCTCTTGGTCGTTAATAAGTGAGTGTTGCCGCAACACAGTGTTGGGTTCTTTTCAAGGCAATTGAAAGGAAGATATTGATGTCATCTTCCCCACGGATTCCATCATTTCCCACAAAGCACAAGGTGCTTAGGTGATGTCATTTGTTATGAATCTGTTCTCAATGCTGTTTTCCCAAGGAGCCTGGTTCCAGGCAGACTCGAGGTGCACATTCCCCTTACAGGCACTCAGTGGTGCTGCCTGCAGCAGTGAGCTGAGCCAGGTACAGCCAGCTGCCCTGAGAAAAGCAGGCTCTCACCTGGCTGTGGCTGCAGTCACCTGCCTGCAGGGACTTCCCTGCCACTGCAGGTGCAGCTCTTGCTCTGCCTTAGCCTACTGCAGAGCATTTTAAACTAGCACCATGGTGGCTTTTTGCAGAGACAAAACTAAACTTCACATTTCTCATTGGGGACATTCTGTTTCACATGTGAATGATGATTTGTGTGATTCTTGGTGGTGGTCTACACAGACCCTAAGGGAATATTTAGCATTCAGTAACTGGGGTGTGAGGACTGGCAGTAGTGAGACAATTGTGGAACTTGGTGCTGCTTTGGCTTTAGGCTGGCACAGAGAAGCTCAGGTGAGACAGGTCTGGTTGCTGCTAGGGTACAGGGTGCCTTTGCAACATGCTCCATGCTGTACCAGTTAGGGACTGGGCTTTGTCACAGAATCAGAGAATCAGAATCAGACTTGGAAGGGATCCACAAGGATATGCAAGTGCAGCTCTGTCCCCAAGAATCCCACCAGGTGCCTGTGGAACTTGTCCAAATGTTTTCTGAGCTCTAGTGGACTTGGTACCATGAGCAGTCTTGTGGGGAGCCTGTCCCAATGCCTAATTACCCTGGGTGAAGAACTCTAACCTGATTTCAATCTTAATGCTTGCTTATGGCTTCAGGTAATTTTTGTTAGAAGTCATTCCGGGGTATGGTTTTAGGAGGTGTTTTGTTTGAATGCTGTGGGAAGTTTCTCTATCCACATTGGATTGAACTTCTCAAAACATTAGCGGTGTCTTCACTCGACATCTGGCATGTTTACAGTGCTCTAAATAATTGAAGCATGTGATGTTTGTGCAATTAGGTTTGCAGACAAATATCAGAGAGGCATGGTCCAAGGAACAGGAAGTGGAGAAAGGCATTAAAAATTTTACCTACATTGAAAGACTGAAGGAGCGTGTCAAGAAAGGTCAGTCTCTGTGTGTGGGATGGAAGAGACAAAGCTCCCGGATTTCTCACCAATATGCATCAAGTCTCCATCAGCCACTAAGCACGAGTTCCTGGTTTCAAACACTGCTTGCTGTGTCATATCCCCTCCCTTGACCTGCTGGCCACATCTCACCTGATGCAGCCCAGGACACGGTTGCCTTTCTGGGCTGCCAGCACACATTGCCAGCTCATGCCCAGCCTCTCATCCACCAGCACCCCCAAGTCCTCCCCACCTTCATCCCAGGCTCCTCATCCCATCCCAGCATCCATGCCCAGCTGGGATAGGGCATGTCCCAACCCCAAAGATGCAGCTCTTTGCACTTGGCCTTGTTGAATCTGATGAGGTTCCCAGGGCCCTACTTGCCAAGGTTCTCCATGTCCCTCTGGATGGCATCCCAGACCTCTGGTGTTGTCAAACTTGCCAAAGAAGCATTTAATCCCCCTGTCCATATAATTCTTGACATAGCTAGTGCTTGAGCTTACAAACTGGAGAAATCATACAAAAACCACCATGCATATAAAGAGTTTTCCATAAATACCTCCCCTCCAGTATCACTCCTTCACACGGTATTTTTAATGACTGTTTCTTCCTAATGCTTTACTGTCTGGATTTGTACTGATCTATACATTCTGAACAAATAGAGTTTCCACAGTCTCGGTACATCCTTTTGCATCAACTACCTTGATTCCTCCCACTCCCCGTTTGACAATTCATTTTCTGTTTTTTCTTTACTGAAGTGAAAATACCAGAGCTCAGGAGAGCCCCACACAGCTCTCCAGATCTTGTGCCTGACAGGAAGAGAACGATGCCCAGAACCCTGCAAAATACATCCAGAGACTTTTCAGTGCTGTTTCTCAACGACCCATCAGAGACAGGGTGATTCATTTACTGGCTCTGAAGAATTACAAGAAGTCAGAGCTACTTACCTGCTTAGAGAGAGGGAGTTGTGGAAAAGGACAAGGAGTCCCTTGGAAAGATCCTTCAGGAGGTGAGATCCTGGGGCTGCTGCCAGCAATGCTAACTCTTAGCAGTCTTACTTCAGGGTTTAAATTAGAAACTAATGAGAAACTTAGGAAATGCCCTTTGTTTGCATTTTCCCATCAACTTTACTCAGTTTCCACCCAACTGCAAGTCCATGTGACAAAAAGAAACCTTCAAAACTTTGGAGGCCTTGTTGTTGTTCTTCTAGAATAGCTGGCAATGATAAATTCTTTGTAATGTTGTTGCTTCTCATGCCTTATTTTAATCCTCCCTCTTTTCCTTGCACTGGTAAACTGCTTCATGAAGTAACTTCACAGGGTGAAACTCTCAACTGGGTGAAACACTTAGCTGAGGTCCTTAAAATACCCTGGGACAAGTTTCAGAGGAGAGAATTTTGGTGGCCGCATAGGGCACTATTTCATTTGAAGGGACTTGGTGGCCTCTCAATGGTATTTGCTTCTACTGTGGGGATTGCCTTCCAGGGAAGGGTGTTCCAGGAAAATCCTACATGATAAAGATGGTGGCCCAACTTTGAACACAGAGTTGCTTTGCTGTTGTGTGGATTGAGTCGTCGACTTCCTTGGCACTTATTATTTCTCATAATTTTCCAGTTGTCCTTTTAGCGCCACTGGTATTTCTTTATTACAGCCATTCATTCGATTCACATGGACTGAAGGATGCAGTGGCTGTTTCTTCCTTTTTCAATATTCCCCATCAATGTAGGCTGTTGCTGAATTATGCAAGCATTAACGTATCAAGTAGCAATATTTCCTTTATAGCTACGAAACAGGTGATGATAAGATTTCAAAGCTCAGCTCCTTAGAGGGTAAGAGATGAAAAAAATGTCTCCTTTCTGTTTGTTCTTGTTAATGTTTAAGGAGATTTTGAAGGAGTATTTTCTTGTTTGCAGTGTGAACTGCCTGGAGATACTGGTTTGCATTCTGAAAGGGCTGTGTGAACAGCACTACATCCTGAAAACTGTTATTTACATTTCTCTTAACTTCATAGGGAGATGGTGGTGTTTTTTGCCATGCATGAAAAACCAGTAGGGAGAACTTGCTGAGCTCTTCTATTCACAACCTTCCTTCTCTTCCAACACAGCCTGAGTTCTGCTTTTAAAAAGTGAATTCCTGATTCTGGGCATCTTTGTTCCTTTTAAGCTGTTGAAGTGTAGCTCTAGGTAGGTTATCTCCTAGAAGTGTTCCATAGGAAGCTGCAGTTTCCTCTGAGCAGACACTTGAGAAAGAAAAGCAGTTCTGTTTGCAGAGACAAATGCCAACATCCTGTGGTGCTTCATGGGATGATGAAAACGTGCCCCATTACAGGTCCAGGCTGTGTTCTGCCATGGCAATGTAGCTGGGTGAATCAAGAGGGCAGCATGTGTCCTCCTGAGAGTGGAAAAATATGGACTTGCTCATGGGGATGATGTTCTTCAGGTCCTACTCCAAAAAAAAAGGAAAACAGAAAGGAAAAACCTGGTTTCTCCATGTATTTCAAATGGTGAAGTTCTGGCATAGTGTACCTTGATTCTCAAAGCTGCCTTAAAGACCAAAAAACCTGGATCCCTGGTGCAGGGAGAGGTTTTCATAGCCTCCATTTCCTCCATGCTTGCAGCAGTTTGGCATTTACTTACATCCAAATTTCTACAGCCCAAATGGACCACACCTGTTTAATATTGTTGCCTCTTACATGACAGCTGCTTGTTCTTTACATCAAACAAAAGTCCTGGAAAACTGGTGCATGATTTTCTTTTCAGCTTTGCTTTAGCTCTGTACTACCAGTTTTACATCTGTAGTCTGCCTTTAGGTGCAATGAATATTGATGTTTTAAATGTCTGCCCCTAGGTAGCCAACCTGGATGCAAATGAGAATTCTTTCAGTCTGAAGGAACATTTCTTCAAAGACATTCAGATTGATTGGCCTGGCTACAGTGAAAGAGATAGAAAGACATTGGAGGTGACCCTTTTTCAGTAAGTTCAGCCAGGACAACAACCATTTCAAAAAAACCCTCTGGGAAATGAAGGTCTGTTTTTGCTGTGAGGAAAGAACAAGGACTGTTGATATTTTTGCCTTGTAACCTGAAATGCTGGACCATCCTTACAGAAAAACAGCTCCATCTCCAAATGCCACCAGCACCAGCCAGTCACTGTCTCTGGGACGTTCTGAAAGAAACACTCCACCGAGAACTGCTCAGGTATTTTGTGAATTTTTAAACATTCTCTACCATATATGATGTTTTATCCCACTTGCTCTTGGTGTCCAAGCTGTGGTATGAAGCACTAGTGTTGTCTGTACATCATATAAACCTGAAGTGTGTACTTCTAATGGGATTCCTGTATACTTTTCAAGATGGTTACAATGTCAAAACCTGCAACAAGCTTGCACCCGTGATTTGTTTGTCATGGTGCATAGGAAACTCTGCTAAGGACAAGATGTAGACATGGTTTTGGTGCCTAGCTGTGTCTGGGCAGGGTTATTGATGATATGGCAGCTCTAGTACCTAAATCATGCATGGTAATGCCAGTGCCACTGTTTGAAGAGAAATCTTAGGGAAGTCTAGCATAAGGACAAATTCCAGTACTGAGGCGTTTGTAGGAAGCTTGTTTTTCTGTCCTAAGCAGCATTTAGGCTCCCATTTTGATTCAGGCTATCCCATGTGTGAGGAGGGGACTTGGAATCATTAGGGAATACCTTGGACTTGTCAGGCTTAAAATCAAGAGATGGCCAATACAAGAGGGCAAGGAAAAAGTTTTGAAAGAATCTTGGAAAACCCTGCATGAAAGGTATCTTTTCTATACCTTAAAGAATTCTCTTTAAACAGCCCTGGTTTTCCCTAGCTCTTTTCCCAGCCAGAGCAGGAAGTGCTGCAGGGCCCAGCATCCTCTTATGTCCTACCTCTGTGCCTACAGCACTTCTGTCAACAGGCTGGCACAGAGCTGTGTCTGGCAGTCCTGCTCTGAGCTGCTGATGGTGGGAGCAGTGTGTGCTTGGTAGGGAAGAGGCTGTGATCCAGGGTTTCCTCTGGAGAGCAGCAGGAATGAGACCTGCAGCCAGACTGGGGCTTCTCTCTGTTGTTATCATCTCTGCACTGGACACGCTGTGATCAGCACCACACCGGCGGCTTCTTGGGGCCGCTTTAGTGAATGGTGTGGCTGTGTGACAGCAAGAGTAGAGTGTGTTCCTGGTGTGTCTAAGCAGAAATAGGGAGCAAGATAAAACCAACCTGAGCTCCTCATTTTGGGGAAGCCTTTGTTAGAGGTGCTGAAGGGAATGTCTTTCTCCCAAAGCCATTTAGCTACAGAGTTGGAGGAGGACTTGCTGAATACTCAGGTGAGAAAGTAGGAATGAAATAGAGAACATATTGAGCTGCAGCACCTCCTTGTATGACAGGCCGTTTTATGTAAGAAAGGTGTGTGTTCAACCATTGCCAGGTCAGTCGTGCTGCTTTTTCAGAGCAAACCTAATTGGCATCATCTTTGCAGAAACGGCCTCTGGCTTCTGCCTTTATCCATCCTGTGATGACAAAGAAACAGAGGATTGACCAAGAGCCCCATGGTATCCATCCAGCAGCTGGTGGCCGCTCTCCTTCTTCCTTGGACCTGCCTTCCACATCCTGCTCAACTTTGAACCTGGCTCCAAGTGTCAGCTCCATTTCCACCTCCACCCGTCAGCTACAAGAGAAAGATAAAATTCGGACTCCATCTGGAATCCCAGCGCCTGTCAGGGTGCAGGGGAAGATTCCCAGCTCCAAAGGTGAGGAAACAGAGTTAGACAGGGTGAAAAAATCCCATCCTTTGGATTTTGATAAAATGCTTGCCATGAGCAAAGCCAAAGAGATGAGCAGAGAGTGAGGACCCAAGGAGAAAAGGAGTCACACAATCCAAGTGCAAAGGGTATTAAACTGATGGACCACTTTTAGATATGCTTCCATTTCATTTTTTACTGGATATCCGTACGGTTTTTTAGTCATATCTAGCCTCCCATCCACTGGCACCTCCAAGTCCTCCCCACCTTCATCCCCAAGCCTGTCTTGGTGTCAGGGAATGTCCCAAACCCAAAGATGCAGCCCTTTGCACTTGGCCTTGTTGAATCTGATGAGGTTCCAAAGGCCGCACTTCTTGGTCCTTCCAGATGGCATCCCATGCCTCTGGTTTTGGCAAACTTGCTGAGGGTGCACCTAATCCATTCTAGAGGATGCACTTGCTGAGGGTGCACTTAGTGTCATTCTAGAGATAGCTGAATGCTTGAGCTTACAAACTGGGGAAATCATATAAAAGTAAAATGCATAAAAATCATTTTTCCTAAAAACTTCCCATCCAGCATCACTCCTTTACCAGCTTTTAAGGACTGTTTCTTTTTAATGCTTTACTCTTTGGATGCTTGGAGATCTGTAAATGACGGACAAATAGAGGCTCAAAAGTCTTGGTACATCCTTTTGAATCAGCTTCCTTGCCTTCTCCAAACCTCCAATTTGAACTATTTGTTTCTGGTTTTCCCTCTCTTTAGGAGCAAAAGCAGTGGTCAGAGGAGCCCAGCAAAGCAATTCAGGTCCTGTGCCTGAGAAGAAGAGGATGATGTCTGTGAGACTTGCAGACATTGACTGGAGCGGTTGCGCTGCTGTTTACGGCCGACCCTACAGGGACAGGGTGATTCATTTACTTGCTCTGAGGGATTACAAGGAGCCAGAGTTACTTGCTCAGCTGCAGAGAGATGGAGTCAGGCAAAAGGACAAGGATTCCCTTGGAAAAATCCTTCAGGAGGTGAGATCGTGGAGCTTGTGCCAGCACTTCTTCCATCATGCTACTCTGCCATTCATAATTTTACTACTGCCACACTGTCATGGTTTGACACTGGCACACAATGCCAGTGCCCCCATGAAAATGCAACCTCTCAATTGAATGCTGCGAAATGCAATCGAGAACAGAGCAAAGCAGGCCCAAGCTTAATAACAAGGAAAAAAACTTTATTAAGCTACTACTACTATACTACTATAAAAGAAAAAAAAGATAAAAACACCACACAAAATTCAAAATGAAAACCTTCCAAAGTATTCCTCCTCTCACCACCCAACCCCAACAAACCACAGTGAGACACAATCTGGACTCCAATCAGGTGTCCACCCTCCAGACAATCGATACTCAGTTCATCAAGGAAGAGAGGAGCCCCTCCTGTGCCACAGACCCGCCCAGGAAACACAGCTGCCACATCCTGTGCTTCCATGTCACACATAGCACCACCCAGAGAAAGAGTTTGCCATGGTGGCCCTCTCCTTTCCATGCACAGTGCTCTCACCACCAATGCATGGATGGACAGACTGCTTTTAGGATTTTTCCTTTCAAGGATGCCCTGCCAAGAGGGGAAAAAACAACAGTTCAGTTTTTTATTTTTGGGACCACAATTCCCCCAATTTCCCCCTGGGGCTGAGGGTCCAAGAACAGAGATCTTCTCTTCTTCTCTGAAGACAGGGGACACCACCACAAACTTCCCTAACTTTTCTTTGTTTGTTCAACTTCTGTCTTTTCCCAGCTGAAGCATGGTCTCTTTGGCTCACCAGCATCCTCCTAAAATACAGTCTCTCTTGGAGGAGAAGATCAGTTCAGTCTGTGGCTACCAAGAAAAAGTCCAGCAAAAAGCCACTCCATCATCTCCTCCCACCTAAAATTTCTCCTTCCAACATCCCAGGGTCCAAGCTGTCTGTCTTCCTCTCTTTCAAACCGAGGAGGAGAAAAATTTCACAAAGCTTTCATTTCTCAGGAAGGGTTAAAAGTCCCGACTCCCAGAGACGGCTCGCTGCCCAGGCTCCCACTCCCACAGGCAGCTGGGCACCTTGCGGCCCCCCCCAGCTCTTCTTCCCCGCGGTGAACTGCTGGCAAAACCACCGCTGTCTCTTTCTCTCTCTCTTGAGAAAGAGAGACTCTGGGGGGAAACGGAGACATCCCAGATTTTCTCCACCCTTCCATCTGCAGGGGGTTCCCAGGCCCCTCCACCCTTTGGCCTACCTCAGTCAGGCCAGGGGCCTTCCCCTCCCCCGCCCAGCCACGGATGGGCAGGGGAGAGTCCTGCACTGCACGCTGACCGGAACCAAAGAGAGCGAGTTCTCCTGGGAATTCTGCTTTTAACCCCTCTGTGTTCTCAGAGGCGTGTCCACCTTCAATTGGTCATATCCAAATTGACCTCTTTCTTTTGAGAAAATTCATTTTCCGTGTCAAACCACGACAGCAGAGTACCAGGAGACTGTGAAGAGAGCAGCAGGACTCAATGTCACTGGAGCCCCAGGCACACCTGATGCTGGCCACAGCTGTGCCTGCTGCAAGCTCCCATAGCTGCTGCCTTCCCCCTCCCTGTTGACAGCTCTGTCCCTCCAGCCCTCAGACCCTGCCCATCCCCTTTTTTTGGCCCCCATCTCATCCCTTCCCTTTCCCTTCCATTAATAAACAGTTTGGTTTCTACCCCTTACCCTCATCTCTGTGGAGCTGAAGCGGCCCAAATCCCGGGCCCTGGGACACACAGGCCCCTGCTGCTGTTCTCTTCCACGCCGTGTTCTGTGCACACACACACAGAACGAGGGCAGATCAGGCTGGAGAGGTGCCTGTGCTGAAGGTGCAGTTCCACAACCCTGTGGAGTTGCAGATCTTGCTGTGCAGCCTGGAGCCCCTGGAATTTGGAAGAGCCAAGCTGAGTATGCTCTGAAGGCAGCTGTGAGGGATTCCATGGCAAGCTTCCACGGAGGGCAAAGGAGCTTGGAATGCTGGAAGTTTTCAGGAATAGCTTCCTGAAGGCTCAGCAGTGCTCCATCCCCGCACAGGATCAGGGAGAGGGCCGAACCAGCGACCATCCAGGCTTAGCAGGGAGCTTTGGGTGTGCCTGAGGGCAAAGGAAGCAGCAGCGCGGTGCCCGAGACTGGGACGCACGACCCTGCCAGTGCCCGGAGCACTCTCAGGCAGTGCCGGGATCCCGGCTGTGGTTCTGGTCCCCACAAGTGAGGAATGGCAGCCCCAGGCTCAGAGCCAGTCAGAAAGCCAAGCAAGTGAGAGCAGAGGGAGGGCACCCTTCCAGTCTCTCTTGGGCATGGCCGCAAAACAGCCCCTGCTGCTTCTTCCTCCGCCTGTGTTTGGGCTGTGCTGGTGGCAGAGGCAGCCAGGCTGTGCTCTGCCTTCCAGAGCCTGTTGGGAGCGGGCATGGAAAGCGCTGTGTGCACAGCAGAGAGGCCTGGAAGGTGCTGGCAAGAGCGTCCTGCGGGAGCAGGGCTCTGGGCTCTGGCTGGGAACAGCCTGGTCTTGGTGCCGTGGGCGCAGGCAGGAGTTGAGGCAGGTGAAGAGGCACTGAGCAGCTTGTGTTTGTAGAGGGCCTGGGGCTGCACGTCTGAGCCTCCACCTGGAAAGGCACTTGGGAATAGGAGCTAGAGCTGGAGTGCCTGTCCTGAAAGGACGTGAAGTCCTTCAGCCTTGCCAGCGTTTCCTAAGGGTGTGTTGGTGTTGAGCAGAAAAGCCGCACATTTGGGGAAATGCCTTTGGAGGACAGGGGCTTGCTTCTCAAGGAAAGTGCTTCCCTGGGAGCTCCCAGTGAGGCAGGTGCAAGTGTCCCCCTTTGGCTCTCTGTGCTCCTTTCAGTCCTTGAGGCCCACTGCACTTGGCAGAGAGACAGGGGAAGGGAGAAGGCTGTGAAGAGCAGGTTTGGCATCCACCTGGACCTGCAGGGACCAACCCAAGCACCTGCAGCAGCGTGTGTTACCCCCCCTTTGGACAGAGGGGTGAGCAGAACCATCTCTGTCCATCTGTGAGCCCCACAGCTCTCTGTGGGAGCTGTGAATTAAAAGGCCATTACACACTCACTTTTCACATCTTCCCGTCTGCTGTGTTTCAGCTCTTGGCAAGATGCATTTGCCTCCTGCTTGCTGGGAGCTGCTGTGGCCCAGGGCCAGCACAGACTGGGCTGGGTGGGCCAGGCAGTGTGGTGGAGAGTCTTGGCTGATCTTGGTGTGTGCCTGGCCTCAGAAAAGGCTTGGAAGATTTGCCTGCCGAGGTGTCCTGCTCCTTGGCTCTCCCTGTGCATCTTGGAGAGCACAAGGGAGGCATTTCTGGCAGCTGGGCATCAGCAGGCCTTCAAATGGGGGCGTGTTGTGGAGCGAGCGCAGCTGAGATACCCTGAGAGGAGCCCAGGGCTCCTTGCTCCTCTCTGCTGGCCCGTGAGTGTCTGTCTGCTCTCGGGATGGCCCTGGCTGTGTCACGGGTGCTGCGTGGACACGAGACAGCCGCTCCTGTCCCGCTGGGTCCCAGCAGCGCCTGGCAGCCATCCTGCATCCACGTCAGGATGCTGGCCAAGAGAGGCTCTGGAAGCTGAGGCAGCTGATTTTAAGCTTCTGCAGGTGCCAACAGGTCAAGGCCAACAGTGTTCCCTCAGGATACAGCATTCCTGAGGGGCTTCCCCAGAGCTGCCTGATGCCACCCACTCCTTGTGGCACCAGTTGCTTTCCTGTGGAAGGTTCTACCTTCCCCAAGAGCACAGAAGGAGCTGGAGAAAGAGCTGGCCAGGCTGCTCTTGATCCTTTACCAGCAGCCCTGGGTGAGCAGAGTAATCCCAGCTGAGCGCAGATGTGCCAATGGAAGAGCCGTGCATGGGAAGGCTCGGTGGGAAGGATGATCCAGGATCCATAGGCCTGGCAGCCTGAGCTTGCTGCCGGGGAAGGCCTTGGAGCAGATCCTCCTGAGTGCCATCCCACAGCACGTGCAGGGAACCAGGGGGTCTGCTGGAGGGAGGGAAACTCTGCGGAGGGACAGGGACAGCTGAGGGTCCTGGCGGGAAGTTGAGGGCTTCTTTGTGGTGTTTGCAGGGTGTTGGTGTTGGACGTGCGCTGGGGAAGGAGTTGTCTGGGAGGTGAGAGGTCTGGGCTGGAATTTGAGTCTGTTTTAAGGCAGCATCTGTGGTTTGGCACAGCCTTGCTCATGGGTCTCAGAAAGAATATCCGTGACTGTTTGTGTTCATGGTCCTGATTGTGCTGCAGGGAACAAGAGGGGAGAGCTGTACTTTATTGGCCACTTAGATCTCTATACCGGGGCAGGGTTAACCATTTTGCCATCTACTCATTGTTGCCAGCAGTTGCTCCAGGTGCTCCTGCCAACAGCCCCTGCAGGCAGGAGCACAGCCCCCAGTGCACGTGGGTTTGGCTCCCTCTGGCACAGAAGCCCCCCAGGGGCTCAGATCTGTGGGGCAGGAGACGGGCACCAGCCCTGCCAGGGCTCGGGGGCTGGCAGGTCTGCCTGGGTGGGGACTCTGCCACAGCTGCTGGTGTCAGCGCTCCCCGGGCCCCAGGGCTCAGAGCAGCATTCGTGCCCTGGCCCACAGTTCCTTGTGTGTGCCACACCCGCGGGTTTAGGGTGGCCACGGGCTGGGATGCGTCCCGAGGAGGCTGTGGCAGCTTCCATGGAAGGTTCTGTGCCCTTCCCAGCGCAGCTGTGTCGGCAACCCTGGGAGCTCCTTCTGCTGCCCTGAGCCCGCAGAGCCGGGCAGCGTTTGCTGATGGTCTGAGCCGTTCCTAAAGATCCTGTCGGGCTGTCTCAGACACTTGGGGCCAGGGATTCCTTCCAACCTGGGCCACTTTGGCTGGGCAGGGGGTGGCCCCAGGGCAGGTGGCAGTGTGTGCAAGGCCCCTTTGTGACATGGTGCAGCATGGTTACTATGGCATAGAACGGGACAGGATGGCCTTTGTGACACGTGCTGACATAGGAGCTGGCACTAACCAGAGCACGCCACTCTGCTCAGAGCAGGCGACCGGACAGGACGGGACAGAGCGGTGCCGTGAGGAGCCCCCGCACAGCGCGCTCGTTCGTGCCTGACCCGGAGCTTTTCCGAGGCATTATTCCTACAGGTGACCTCGTGGCAAGACCACAGGACTTGGCAGCCCGTGGCCTTCCCGAGGCTTCTCTTTTGTAGGTGCCCTTGAGGACTTGTTGACTTGGAGCTTTCCCAAGCCATCTCTCTTTCAGGTGCCCTCGATACCAGACTCTGGCATGGCAGGCAGATTTCTCGGCTTGTTTAGAGTGTTCAGGGGGAAGAAAAAGAAAAGCCCTGAAGCTGCTCCACCACAACAGCGTGAAAACCTGGAGCAGTTCCAGCCACCGGAGGACGGTGAGTGGCAGAGCTGGGCCACAGGACTGATGCCTGCAGCCAGCTTGGCCCCATCCCGTCCCTTCCTGTCCCATCCCATCCCATCCCATCCCATCCCATCCCATCCCATCCCATCCCATCCCATCCCATCCCATCCCATCCCATCCCATCCCATCCCATCCCCTGGGGATGTGCCCATGGACAGGAGGGAAGAGGGCCTGGGCAGACACCCCGCAGTGGCCGTGCTCCATCCCCTGGGGCATCCCGGGGCTGTCCCTGCCTGGGGAGCCCAGGGCTGGGCTGTGTTCTCCGGCCTCTCCCGCAGCCCCTCAGCCCTGGCTGCGCTCGCTCTTTGCCAGATGCAGCCCTGGACCGCACACAAGAGAAGAAACCTGCCCGTGGCCGTTTCCGCAAAACCCTGAAGGTGCCTGCAGCCATCCCCACCTGGGCTGGGCCTGCTGTCACTGCTCAGCCCAGCAGCACGCCTGGAGCACTCCATGGAACACCCCTGGCTTTCATTTCCTTTGTTCTCCTACAGATGTTCTGGAAGTTCCCGTGCATTCGACGTAGAAAGACCGGCAGCGCAGCAGCTGAGGGCCCGGCCGAGCCTGGCTCGGGGCTGACCGAGCTCCAGGCTGAGCCTGATGTCAGCCCAGATTTGCCTGAGCGCTCAGAGAACTCTGACACCTCAGTGACTGAAACTCGGACAAAGATTCTTCTCACATCAATGACTGAGGATGTGGACATCACAAACGCCAAAACCAGAGACACTCAGGGCATCGCAAATACTGACACCATGCCCTCTCCAACTCTGAGTCAGGAACTCATATTCGACTATTTCAAGGACCCTTGTGTTCCTTCTCAGCAGCAGGTAAGCAGCCTGGGGCCAGGCCTGGAGGCCTCCCAGCATCGTGTGTCCCCTCAAGCCATGGTCTCTGGGCCCCCTCAGCCTTTGAGGCCAGCACAGTGTGGAAGAAGGGAAGCACTTCTTTGAAATAGCTGGGCAAGTTGTTCCCTGGACAATGTTCCATTTCTCCCCCATGCTTCCTCCAGGTGCCAGCCAAGGTGAAGAACATCCACCAGCGTCTCATGTCCCAAGTCACTGTGGATGTCTGGCTGAAGACTGACATTTTGAGGCTGGCTGAAGAACACCCTGCTGACCTGGTGCTGACCCTCCTGCGCTGTGCCCCAGCGTGTGACAGGTACGGGGCCCACGAGCCTTGAGAGCTCAGGGCTCAGCAGCCTTTAGGGCCCACGGCCCTGCACAGCCTGTGCAATGGGCTCTGCCAGACAGGCAGAGAGGCCCAGGAGCCTCGGGCCCCTCTGTTCCCTGAGCCTGCTGCCAGCGCTCCCCCCCTGCCCTTCAGGGCACAGGGGCTCTGTCACCTGGGCCCCCACGGGTGCACAGGGCATGGTGCCGTGACTGAGATGCCCCTGACACAGAGCTCTGATCCCACAGAGCCGCTGCAATGATGTGGAGAACCATAGGCTCATCGAGTCCCACCGTGGAAAAGGTGCTGCCAACGCTGCTCTGTGTGATGGAGAACTGGCCTCTGCACAGCATGTGCACCTCTGATGGGGACAACGAGGAAGTCTTTGCCCTGGCTGTGAGTTTCTGGAACTGGCCTTTGCTCACCCCCAGGTTGCCAGCAGCTCTCCATCCTCTCCATCATTCAGTTGCTGGGCTGAAACCTGGGCTAGGGCCAGGCTCAGGGGGCACCAGGCCCGCTGCTCCCCCTGCGTCGGCTCTTGGGCCCTGCCCCATGGACACCTCGTCACTGAGCGCTGCCTTGGGCTGTTCTCTTGCAGGCAACTCTGGGTCTCTGGGTGATTCTCCAGGTGCCTGAGTGCCAGGAGGCGATAAACCTTTATTCCCCCCGCCTGTTTGTGGCTCTGCTCTTCCATCTTGTCATCACCACACAGCAGATACCATCAGAGGAAGTTGCTACATTCTGGAGAGCATGCTGGCAGGCACACCACCTTCACTGCAAGCCCAACAGGTCCCAGTCCCCCTGTCCTTCCCGTGCCCTTGTGGCCAGTGCCAGCGCTCCCAGTGTGACCTGGGCTTTGCTCTGCACACAGGTTTGCAGTGCAGACCATGAAGGCTCTGCTCTGCCGACTGCAGTGGGACCATGTGGTGCTGGCTATGGAGCGCAAGCGTGACTGGGACATGCTGCTGCGTGCTGACACCCAGCACGTTGCTGTGGGCCTGCTGGCCAGGTGAGACCCCCTTCTCCCCACGGTCCCCAATTTGTGCCCTGTGCCCAGGTGCCCCTCACAGTCCCTGCGGTCATGGGCCAGAGGGCCTTTTCACTGAGGGACAGCCAAGGAAACTGGAAAAGGCTTGGAGAGGAGAGTGCCCAGAAGGGGCCGCCTCCCAAAGCGCCCACATCCTCTCCAGGGATGCTGGGGAAAGACCCGACCTCTGTGAGTCCCTCCTGGGAGGGGTTTGGCCTTCCCACCTCAGGGCCTTTTTCCCCCCTTGCCAGGGTGTTGTGCCATGTCTTGGACCCCTTCTGTTCCCGCATTGCATTCCGCCTGCTCCGGCCACAGAGCAGGGAAGAGCCGTGCTGGGATCTGCCCTCCCTGGCATTCCTGGTGGAGGTGAGCCTGTTGGCCAGCGCTGCCTGCCTCAGCTGCCTCCCGGCTCTCTGCCCTCTCGCAGCCGCAGCTGCCTGGGACGGTGCCCACGCCCCGTGCTGCTGCCTGGGCCCGGCCCTGTGCGGTTCTGGGCTCCTGCCGGCCGGGTCCCCTGTCACTGCCCTGTGCCTTTCAGGTCCTCGGGGGCCTGGACTTGAGTGAATGCGGTGACAGGGTTCTGGAGATGATGTCAAGGTACCTGCGGAGCGAGTGCAGGGAGCGGCGTCGCCTGGCGCTCCGAGGCCTTGTGGTGCTCACCAAGGATCCCTCGATGGTGAGAAGGGGGCAGCAGCTGAAGCTGCGCTGGGCAAAGCAGCCCCTTGGGCTGGCAGGGCTTCAGGAGCTGAGGCAGCTGCTCCCAGCTCTCCTGCCTCACCTGCCCCAGTGCTTTGGGACAGGCCTTTGGCCTGCGGGCCCTGCAGCAGCAGGGTGGGCCTGCAGTGCCAGGGCGGTGTTGGCCGTGCAGCCATCCACGGCTCCCCAGCCCACCCTTGTGTTCCGCACAGGCCAGAAGAATGTACCCGCTGTCTCAAAGCCTTCTGGAGCTGCTGGGGGATGCAGATGGAGAGGTGGTCAGCATGAGCCTCCGTGTGTTCACAAATGTCCTCCAGCACACAGACATCCTGGTATCCAGCACCACTGCCCCGAAGCTCGCTGAGGCACTCCTCCTGCTCTTTGACCATGTAAGGCTCTATGTCCACAGCCATGGGCACAGACTGCCCGCATACACTTTCCCCTTATGGATTTTCTGACATTGTCTCTGGTGAGCCTGGAATAATTGGTCTTAAAAGTCTTATCCTCTTCTTTTCTAAAGGACAGCAGCTATGTGCGCTTGCTCTCTATTTTACTCTTTGACAAGATGATGAACTTTCTAGTGGATGAGGGAGAAAAGCCCGTGAAGAAGATTTTGTGTCAGAGCTTCCTCCCACTTTTCTTGCACTGCCATGAGGACAACCAGCGCGTGGCAAATGTGAGGTTTTGTGTGATGCTGGTGGATCTCTGGGAGGGGGCTGGGCTGCCTCCTGCCCTGGCGCCTGGCGGGCTGCAGCCTCCTCCAGGCCCTTGCCACAGGGACGCGGGTCCTGCGCCCTGGGCTCTGGGGCCATCTCTGGGTCTCGGCTGCTCTCCAGGCTTCTCGGGAAACGCTGCTTGGTGTGGCCGAGTTTTTGAAGAAGAGGAATCTCAAGAAGCTGCTGAAGAAGGAGCAGCTGTCAAAGTTTGCCGAGTGCCTGGTAAGGAGGGCCGGGAAGCCGCAGCCCCAGCCTGGAGAAGCCCCCTGAGCGCGGTGCTCGGTGTGCGGGCTGGCAGCTGTGCCCCTGCCCGCTGCTGCAGCCCGAGGCCGCGCGGGCTCTGCTCCAGGCTCCTGCGGCCCGAGCCGGGTGCCGATGGAGCCCCGGCCCGGCGGGGCTGCGGGGCGGCACCGCGGCTCCCCGGGCAGCAGCCGGCCCTCTGCCCCCTCCAGAGCCCGGCGCCAGCGGCTGCTGGCCGGGCCTCAGGGCTGTGCGGGCAGGGGAGGCCGGGGTTTGCGCAGGGAGCGCCCGGCCCAGGGGCTGAGCCCGCGCCAACCCTTCCCTCCTGCCGCTCTCTGCAGCTGGCAGAGGACAGCAGCAGCGCGGCCGAGCACCTGCGCCGGGCCCTGCCCTACCTGCAGAGCCCACAGGAGCCCCTGCGAGAGGCGGCCGTCAGGTTCATGGGTGAGCCACCAGCCCGGGCTCCCTCCCCGCCCCGCCGCAGCTCGGCCCCAGCCCCTCTGCTGCCCCGGCAGCGCCACCCGGGCCGGCGCCTCTGGCAGCCGTGCCCTGGGGCGGCAGCGTGCGGCGAGGGCCCGGGCTGAGCCCTGCCGGGCCAGGAGGCCGTGTGGCCCCAGGGCTGGCAGCGCCGCTGGCAGGGAGCTGTGCCGCTGGGCCTGACAGGCTCTGTGTTCCCAGGGATGGCCGGGCGCTACCTGAAGGGACAGCCAGTCGAGCTTCACGTTCTCACTCAGGGTGAGTGAGGGCAGCGGGCTGTCAGCGGGGGCTGGCCGGGAGAGCTGCAATGCCGGCCAGGGAGCTGCAATGCCTGTCCCGGCTGTGGCCAGCTTCGCTCCTTGTGTGGACGAGGGCTGGTGTGGGCAGGGCACAGAGAGATTTCAGGGACGCCAGTGGGGGGATTCGTGACCAGCGCCTTGCGGCTGATCCCGTTGGGTCTTCGTCTCTGTTAGGCATGGCGGGAGCTGGGAGAGATGGCCTTAGCAGAAGAATTGCTGGGTGGCCCTCTGGGCTCTGACTGTGGTAGTTTATCTGTCTTCCAGCCCTTGAAGCCATGAGCGAAGATGACAGCCCATCCTCCACTAACCTGGAAATTCAGGAAATTTTTGGAAAGAGATGTGCAGAACTAAGGTCATCTGCTGGATTCACAGAACCACGATCCCAAGAAGAGTACCAGGAGACAGTGAAGAGAGCACCAGGACTCAACATCACTGGAGCCCCAGGCACACCTGATGCTGGCCACAGCTGTGCCTGCTGCAAGCTCCCATAGCTGCTGCCTTCCCCCTCCCTGTTGACGGCTCCCTCCCCATTCCCTGTTGAAAGCTCCTTCCCTCCAGCCCTCAGACCCTGCCCATCCCCTTTTTTTTTCCCCAATCTCATCCCTTCCCTTTCCCTTCCATTAATAAAGAGTTTGGTTTCTCCCCCTTACCTGCATCTCTGTGGAGCTGAAGCGGCACAAATCCCGGGCCCTGGGACACACAGGCCCCTGCTGCTGTTCTCTTCCACGCCGTGTTCTGTGCACACACACACAGAACGAGGGCAGATCAGGCTGGAAAGGTGCCTGTGCTGAAGGTGCAGTTCCACCACCCTGTGGAGTTGCAGATCTTGCTGTGCAGCCTGGAGCCCCTGGAATTTGGAAGAGCCAAGCTGAGTATGCTCTGAAGGCAGCTGTGAGGGATTCCATGGCAAGCTTCCACGGAGGGCAAAGGAGCTTGGAATGCTGGAAGTTTTCAGGAATAGCTTCCTGAAGGCTCAGCAGTGCTCCATCCCCGCACAGGATCAGGGAGAGGGCAGAACCAGTGACCATCCAGGCTTAGCAGGGAGCTTTGGGTGTGCCTGAGGGCAAAGGAAGCAGCAGCGCGGTGCCCGAGACTGGGACGCGCGACCCTGCCAGTGCCCGGAGCACTCTCAGGCAGTGCTGGGATCCCGGCTGTGGTTCTGGTGCCCACAAGTGAGGAATGGCAGCCCCAGGCTCAGAGCCAGTCAGAAAGCCAAGCAAGTGAGAGCAGAGGGAGGGCACCCTTCCAGTCTCTCTTGGGCATGGCCACAAAACAGCCCCTGCTGCTTCTTCCTCCGCCTGTGTTTGGGCTGTGCTGGTGGCAGAGGCAGCCAGGCTGTGCTCTGCCTTCCAGAGCCTGTTGGGAGCGGGCATGGAAAGCGCTGTGTGCACAGCAGAGAGGCCTGGAAGGTGCTGACAAGAGCGTCCTGCGGGAGCAGGGCTCTGGGCTCTGGCTGGGAACAGCCTGGTCTTGGTGCCGTGGGCGCAGGCAGGAGTTGAGGCAGGTGAAGAGGCATTGAGCAGCTTGTGTTTGTAGAGGGTCTGGGGCTGCACGTCTGAGCCTCCACCTGGAAAGGCACTTGGGGGAATAGGAGCTAGAGCTGGAGTGCCTGTCCTGAAATGACATGAAGTCCTTCAGCCTTGCCAGCGTTTCTTAAGGGTGTGTTGGTGTTGAGCAGAAAAGCCGCACATTTGGGGAAATGCATTTGGAGGACAGGGGCTTGCTTCTCAAGGAAAGTGCTTCCCTGGGAGCTCCCAGTGAGGCAGGTGCAAGTGTCCCCCTTTGGCTCTCTGTGCTCCTTTCAGTCCTTGAGGCCCACTGCACTTGGCAGAGAGACAGGGGAAGGGAGAAGGCTGTGAAGAGCAGGTTTGGCATCCACCTAAACCTGCAGGGACCAACCCAAGCACCTGCAGCAGCGTGTGTTACCCCCGCTTTGGACAGAGGGGTGAGCAGAACCATCTCTGTCCATCTGTGAGCCCCAGAGCTCTCTGTGGGAGCTGTGAATTAAAAGGCCATTACACACTCACTTTTCACATCTTCCCTGTCTGCTGTGTTTCAGCTCTTGGCAAGATGCATTTGCCTCCTGCTTGCTGGGAGCTGCTGTGGCCCAGGGCCAGCACAGAGCTGGGCTGGGTGGGCCAGGCAGTGTGGTAGAGAGTCTTGGCTGATCTTGGTGTGTGCCTGGCCTCAGAAAAGGCTTGGAAGGTTTGCATGCCGAGGTGTCCTGCTCCTTGGCTCTCCCTGTGCATCTTGGAGAGCACAAGGGAGGCATTTCTGGCAGCTGGGCATCAGCAGGCCTTCAAATGGGGGCGTGTTGTGGAGCGAGCCCAGCTGAGATACCCTGAGAGGAGCCCAGGGCTCCTTGCTCCTCTCTGCTGGCCCGTGAGTGTCT